GTACCCACGAGCGGGGAGAAAGCAAACTGCCTTTTTAAACAGGTACCTTAAAGACCCCATGCACGCATTTATTGCGCGTGGTGGGAAGAAAGATCATGGCCGCGGTGTCCTCGTCTGAGGACACCTACCATACATGCCTTTATTGCGCGTGGTGGGAAGACTCAGTTTCTCGTAGTTTTTCCCTAAACGGGGGAGACTCCGGGAGGCTGCCGAAATTTTGGGTGAATACGAGGCCGTACCTGAACTTGATTGAACAAATGGGACTTAAGTGAACTCAACCTTAAGTGAATATAAAAGATAGCATAAGACTGAATTAAGTAAGGACTCAAATGATTTGAACTCGAACTCTACAAGAACAACAGAGGACTTGTGGACATGCATTTGAACTTGGTTTGAACCAAGTGAAAGGGACTTATGAATTTCAAAATGATATAAAGAGCTTTAATTCAATTTGAGCCTAAATGAAAAATATAAAAGGATACACTATAATTTGAACCTCATTTGATCATGACTTGAACAATCATGAGGACTTGTAATTTGACCAATGAGGACTTGAATCAAAGCTCAACCAAAAGAACTTCATTCAAGCTTGACTTGAATAGTTGAACTCAAACTGGATTTGAATCTAGATGGGAACTACAATGAACTGCAGAGGATTCGAATGAAGGGAAGAGACTCATCTTAAGTCTGAATTGTACTCAAATTCAAACAATTTGGACTTGGACTTAATTGGAACTTAAATGATCAATAAAAGTTTGAATCAAATGACAATGCCTCAAATTTACAAATTGGATAAGAAGTTTGGAGTATGAATCCAATTTGGACTTGATGAACAAGTAACGAAGGTATGAATTTGAATGATCTTTAATGAAGATTGAGAAGTGACTACTTCAATTAGAATACAAATAAAGGATGATATCGAACTTATCATATGCATTAGACCTTCTTCGAAGTTAAGGAGTTTGCAAGTAGAATTCAACTAGCAAACAAGCAAGAACTCACTAACTTCTCACTCATGAACAACAAAGTCAAGATGATTTGTAAATGATCACATCAAACCTTTGTGGATTATTGATGCTAATGATTGTAGTGAGGCACCAACAAATGTGAGTGAGAAAGTTGAACATGTCTCGCCTACGAATGATGAAAGCGAAGTGACAGAAAAGTATAATTTGGTTGTCAATGATTGATTCAAAGTTCTCTTCAAATATTGTTGTAATGTTGATCGCCAATGATACTATAAGACCTTTAAATCATCCATGAGCCAGACTCAAATTATCTATGTTTGCAAGATGAACACAGTTAATTGAAATGGAAGATACACAATGAATGCAATCTATCCATAAGCAAAGGTTGATTGGAAAGTACAATAATATGATTGCAATCAAGACATGAAATTTCATTGAGATATCAATATGTCGTGACATTGATTGGGATGAACATGTTATTAAGCAAGTTTGCTACACCAACATTTGAACCATCTTCACATGGCAGTGGAAGATTTATGATGTTCAACAAGGCTCGTCCATCATTAACAATCAACAATGGTTGTAAAGAATACAATGACATACTTGCGGACAATAATAATTAGCATACAATGAGTGTAGTAGTTTTCCAAGAAGAAGGATACAAGTGGAGTGGAACTTGCGTAGAGAAGAATAGGTTAGAAGCCAAGACGAAATAGAGAAGAGAATAAGGGGATGGAACAAGCTCTCAAGCTTTTCCAAGAAGAAGCCCTTAGGTTTTTGTAGAGTTTTTACTCACAATCATCAACAACCTTTTTTATGCTAAAACAACTCTCTTTTATAGGCAAAAGAAGGTAGACAAGTAGCCATATCACCTCCAACCAAAGCCAAAGGAATTGGGAAAATGAAAGGCCAAAAGTCACCAAGTAGAATGTTAAAAGACAGCAAAGACTGCAGCAAAAAACTGCATAGAAAACATGGTGAAAATCACGAAAATTCCCCCCAAAATGCCACAGGAAAATAGCCAGCAGGAGACCTGAAAAACCAACACAGGAGGCCAAGCACCAGGGCACAAGAACTCCAGCCAGCACAGGAAACAAAGGGGCCTGGCACGGGAAAACCAGCCAGCACAGGAAACCGAGAAGACATAGGGGAGGAGAAGAGGCAAGTCCACTCCACAATGAATCCAAGAAATATTATCATACCTTTTTGCATTAATGAGCTAGGAAGTACAATAAATCCCCCAATCATTGAGCTAAGCTTCAGCTCAACACTAATGAGCTAGCACCAAGTAGAACCCATCATTTTTTAAGCTAAACACCAAGCATCCAAGGCTCACCCGAGAGCAACTACTACACCAAAACAGAAATCAGCAAGCAGCCCAAGGAAAAAAATTTCATTTTGTTTTGACCCCCCCTTATCAACCACGAAGAAGGAAGGAATTTTAGATGAATACACAAACATCAAGTTCAAAGTGACACATAATCCTTCCACAATTAATATCAGTCAACATGCAAGCAAATATAGGAGATTCCTCCAATCAACATACAAAGAAATCAATGACAAAAGTAGGAGATTCGTTAGTGCACTACGATCCACTTGCAGAAAGCAACGAGTAGTGCATGACAGTCTACTTGTACGAAGCAGCGAAAACCTTTATTCAGAAGCTGCTACGCCACACCATCGGATCTGCAACTTCTATGCAAGCGGACAGAAGGCGTATACAAATACTTTTAAAGTACCCCCGCACGTGCATCGTAGTTTTTATACACATAGGTACACTTAAAGGGGTAAATGCAATCACAAAACCAGCAAGGGCCCCGGCGAGCGTGTTATTGGTACACACGTGACGTCTAGGGATGTTGCGCGGGTTATTAAATCTGAACCCGATCCTCCTAAGCAAGTAAATAGGAGTTGATAAGGTTCAGTCAATAATTACAAAATACCCCCAAACACCCGCATGGGCCCGATGAACGTGTTATTGGTACACACGTGACGTCTAGGGATGCTGCGCGGGTCGATAAGTGAATTCAAGTTCGAACCCGATCCTTCTATAAGGATCTATAGGAGTCGACAGGGTTCGAACCTTCAAACAAATATACGGTTGTGATGACCGATGTATTTATTTTAATACATTCATATTAGGCCTTCAAGGCCTATAATCAATAGAATTCACAAACAAAGGCATGAAGCTTATAAAAATCGATCCCCTATTGACAGGTTGATAAGGTCGACAAGGTTTAGTCAATGAATGACCCTACACCCCGATGATGGCCGTGTTGAATGTTTATCTCAATCGGAGGGGTTCACAGATATTTTCAAATCCTATCTCAAATACTCACAAAAATTCAAAAAATCTTAAAATCCAAAAAATATTTAAAATTAAAATAAAATCTATCAACACTTTAAGTAAAATCCATCCACCCTTCGCAACAGTTTGCCGAGGTGGACAAATCAAAATTTACTTCAGCTCACAAAGAGCCAAATGCCTAGTCAAAAATATCACTAGGATCCATTCTCAAACAATCTCTTGCCAGTAAGGACGTGGTACGTGTCCTCTAACTGACTGTTTTGCTGCCAAATGATACCACAGGATAAACGGTTATGACCTGGAGCCCTTTGAACCGAGTGGTTTTGCTGCCAAATGGCACCACGCAATACCAGTTATGGCCAGAGCCAATACGCTGCTTAATGGCTTCAAATCCTTGTGATATGAATCAATAGAATATGATCGATAGGGCACAAAGCCCTCTGTTAGCTAAGGTGGATTCAAATTGTCCCTTTAGATAAACATTCACCTGGTCTACAAGGTCCCAAACATTCACAAGGTCCCAAAATTGTCCCCAGGTCTAAAAGGTCCCCTTGGATGAAGCAACCAATTGATGTCGATAAGGATCCTTCTGTCAGGTTGGGTCGACTACCTCCTCTGACTAAGTAGATCAGGGACCACGATGGCCAGGGATGACGGAACCATGGGATCTTGATCGGGTCTATCATCCATTCCCCCACCATCCCATTTAAGTGAAAGATGGTGAAATTTCTATTTTAAATATCAAAACCTTTAAATTTTCAAATATCAATCATTCAAATTCCCAAATTTCCAAACCTCTAAACACCTCAAATCTCAATACCCAATGCTGCTACTATATGCCAGATACCACGTATTCTCTACGTATCTGATTGACGACTAGCCTTTTTCGAAAGTTCTCTCTCGTGATCGAGAGGGGTAATTAACTATAGGGGCTTGCGCCTATAGGAAACCAAAACTCAGATCATAAAGTCCTCGCAAAATGAGGGCGAAATCTCTGGGTAGTGTCTTATCTACAAACTCATTTGCCTTCCCAAAATTTACCCCGGAACTTATTCCATTAAAACTCCCTCGCCGAAAAAAAAAGCAAAATCAATGCGGCGGGGAGGCCGGGGCCGAATTTTCAGAGCCCACATAATTAAATGTGCATAAAAAATTCAAAATGGACTGCAAAACCATTGAAGCAATTGAAAATGGTGTTTTAAGCAAAAGCTGAAACCACGGTGGATGACCTTGCTTTGCATTATGTTTACTGGCTTACCACTTTGTAGCTGCTTTTTGGTTGAAGATGTTTTTGCACATTTGCTTTTGTAGGCATCATTGATTGTTAACTTTATATATCATATTGTTATTTTTTCATCCTTTGATTGATGACAGGAGCTGATGTTAAACAATAATTATAGTAGCTAATTTAGAAATAAAAGTTGTATGGTACGATGCTCTCAACATACATTATTGTAATTTAGCTCCTCCTGTATTTTCTCTATCTGTAGTTGGACAGAAAAGTGCACATTTCTTGTATTACCCTTACATATATGGTTGACGTGTGTGAGCTTGCAAGTTGTGTTAGAGCGGGGTTGGATTTGGAAATTTTGGTATACCGTGGTTATCAACAAATTCGTCCTTGTGGAGAATGAAGAGAATGAATACATTGATTGCCTGTCAAAGATGTAATGGACAGTTCTTTTTGTTTATTAATATGCTCCTTGAATTTATCGTTTGAACAGGGTTCTCCTGATTTAAAGGCTGCTAGAGAAGTTGCAAATTATCTTGGAACCTTTCATCATGAGTTCCACTTCACAGTTCAGGTAGTAGGGTGGGCAATACTTATATTATGAAGATGGAAATTGAAAATGAGATATGAGTTGTATATGAATCTGTTTTGCTTTTCTTCTTGTGGCAGGAGGGTATTGATGCTCTTGAAGAAGTCATCTATCACATAGAGACATATGATGTGACCACTATTAGAGCAAGCACCCCAATGTTTCTTATGTCTCGGAAAATAAAGTCTTTGGGTGTAAAGATGGTTCTTTCTGGCGAAGGTTCTGATGAAATATTTGGGGGCTATCTATATTTTCATAAAGCACCGAATAAGGAGGAGTTGCACCTTGAAACGTGTCGTAAGGTATGCCAATTAGTTATTCACGTTTGAGTTTTCAAAGCTTAGAGTAGCCGTTTTTGCTGTTAGTCAGTACCTTATTGTCTTTAAAAAGAAAAAAAAAAGGAAAAAAAAAAGAGAAAAAACAAAGAAATTTGGTACTTTAATTTGGTTGGGCTTGCATTTGATCTCAGAGAGTCCTCGTCAAAGCTTTTTTGAAACTGATTGTGGATTTGGGGGCATCCTGCTCAATATATGCTTATTATGAATTTTCTGAAGTGCTTTTGTTTTGATTAATGCATCGTGGAAAACCCCCCAACTTTTTACATCTGAAAGTGTGTTCATATGAAAGTGTTGTTTGATGTTTTACTCAAAGTTTAAAACGGAAAAATTGAGAACCGAGGTGTTTTGCTTTAGCGAGTCGAGGCGAGGTGAAGCCTTGAGGTAGATTGAGGCGTAAGCCTCGAAACATAAAAATAAAATACTCACAAATTACAAATAATTCATAAAAATAATAAAAATGAAATATTTTATCAATATATTTATTTGATTCAAAATCATAAAGATATAAACCTCAAATTTTAATCTGAAATGTTTTTATAAAACGAAAGTTTGAAATGATATATATGATAACTTTTACTTGAAAATTAATAACACCACGAGAATCAATATCCACGGTGACTTTATCTTCATTTTCATATTCTTCATATAAGATCTCGTATGTAATAATACCAGGAGAATCAATCTCTATTAATTTGAACTCATGCACGCAAGGAAACCCTCCCTGTCCTCTCTATATTGCATGCAGGGACTCCAGGCGCTCGCTCGCCCACTCCCGCTCCCTCTCATTTTCATTCAACCACACATAGGAGCATTCTCAGTGCAACCTTTAATGTTCTAACACAACATTTCGCCAACAACATCGGGTAGAAATAGTCACATTTTTAATTTGAGAAATCACTTTTCATCTAACATATGAATGGTTACACAATGTGGGCAGAATTGCAAAGAAGTCCAACATGCAGCGAATGGAGTAAGAGGTATTGGATTAATCAACGTGGTGAACCAAATGGTCCAATAACTTCAGTTCAAATTTGTTCCAAGTTGCTGACACAAGATTTCCAGCACTGAAATTTATTTTTGCATTCAATGTGGAGCATCTTGACCATCATATCCTTATCATCACACTAGAAGACAAAGTGACTTGCAATGTTTGTTTAAATTTAAAGCCAACTTACCATAATGATAGATCATATCATACAATAATTTATAATATTCAAAAGATTCAAAAGCCTAAATCAATTCTGAAAAATAAAGCAAAAGTGTCACCTCCATCAATTTAGAAATATGATCTTTGTGATTAGCTGCTTTATAAGGATTATTATTGTCATGATTCATGTTCTGTAAATGAACTTAACGATAAAGATTAATTATTATTAATCGAACCTCTTGTTGAAGGTTGTACATGAGACTATTCTTGAATCTAAATCGGTTATCATATTGATTCCTATTGTTGACACTAACATACATTTTATCACAAATTGTATTACGATGATGAACTTAAGTGTCTTTGAGGGTTTTTTTTTTTTTTTATATATCTATGGACAATGAAAGATTAGCTGTCATATCTCCAAAAAAGTAGATGTTGTAATAAACAACCAATGTGGCCCAAGGAAGCGGGAGGATGTATGGAATGTTCTTTAGTGGCTATCTGGGTAATGCACAAAAAGAAAACTTTGGCAGGTAATATGAGTTATAGTGGTTGTGGTAAATAAAGATTGTGATTATACAAGCAAGTTATACATACTAGCCAATAAAATTTTAAATTCAAACATAACATTCAAGCATACTATAATTATAAGATACATCACAAGAGTGTATTGCAAATATATTGTAAATGTAAATTACATTATATACATGTATATTCGGCGCCGGACAGGTACGTAATTATTTTTTTTTTTTGTTTTATACGGCAGGTCAACATTAATTAATGTTTCAAATTCATTTATGAAAATACGTTAAATTTTATTTTGCATGTGCTCCAATCTTTATATCAAGCTGCTAAATGTGGGATCTAAGAATGCTTCGTGGATTCACTAGAACCCCTATATTGGCTCCGATCTATATACTAAAATTTATTCCGCATATGCTCCGATCTTTACACCAAACTCCTATATGAGATCTAAGAATGCTTCGTGGGTTTTCCAAAAGTGCTCAAACACCCCTATGGTAATTATTTTGATAAGAAATTTTAACCTGAGAGAGCTATTTTACTTTCAAAATGCTCTCAAAATTCTGATTCTTTCAAAACATAAATTCAAATCCTGTTGAAAGTTTAAATCCTTAAAACAAAATTCATCACTAAAAATTTAAAACCAAAATCCATTCACACTCCACAACGGTTTGACGAGGATGATGAATTGAAGAATAACTTTAGCTCACAAAGAACAATTATCTTATGAAATGTACTACTAAAATTCATTATCAATTGATTTCTCGCTTGTAGGGATATGGCACGAACCCTCTGGCTGGATAATTTTATCGCAAAATAACACAACTAATTGAGTAAGAAATGGATAAGGTGTTGGGGGTAAACCCGATCGAGATTCATGTTTGTGTCATCATAGGTATACTAGTGGATCTAGTTTGCTAGCATTAGAGGGCTTTGGATCATAAAATCTAGGGAGATTTATTAAAAGTAATAGGTAACCTCTAACATTTCCATTGCTAGGTCCCAAGTCCTGGATGAGAAAAGTTGAGGGTTGCGTTAGGTAGTCGACAACCAGCATAAAACTTGTCAAATAATCATGACATGAATCCTTTAATACATTGTGTTAATGCTAGGGTGTTCCTTGGATGCGACGCGCTGTATGGCCTCAATATAATGAGAAGTGTGCAAGGGCCGCTGCATTCGGGTGCATCGGAGCTCGGATGCGGTGTTAAATATGCAAGGGTTCTTACATCATGGATAGATGTGGGCAAAAAGCTAGTGCATGAAATTAAAATTAGGTTAGGATTGTGGAATTTTGGTTCTCTTACAGGCAAATTAATAGAAGTAATTGATATTATAATTTATAGGAAGATAAATATTATATGCATTCAGGGAACTAAATAGGTGGGAGAGAAGGTTAACGATATTGATAGTTTAGGATTCGAACTTTAATATTCTAGTAAGAGTCGTGTTAGAAATGGTGTAGGTTTGATTATAGATAAGAGTTTGAAAGATAATATTGTAAAAATTGATAGAATTGGAGATAGAATTATAGCTTTGAAGATTATTGTTGATAATAATATTATAATATTATATATGTGTTTATGTTCCTTAAGTTGGTTTAAATATGTGCTCAAAATTAAAATTTTTGAATGACTTAGAAAAATTAATACAAAAGATGCATTTTGAAGAAAGTGTTTTTATTGGGGAAATTTAAATGGATATATTGGTAGAGAGGTAGAGGATTTTAAAAGCATTCAAGGTGACTATGAGTTTGAAGCGACTAATGAAAGTGATAAGACTATATTAGATTTTGCTCTAGCTCATGATTTTGTTATTGCTAATATCTTATTTAAGAATAGAGATGAACATCTCATCACTTATAATAACATATATGATAAAACTTATATTGATTATTTTCTTATAAGAAAAATAGATCGTTTAGATTATAGAGATTGTAAAGTTATTTCGAGTGAAAGCCTATATCACGAACACCGCTTATTAGTTTTAGACTTTAAGATGAAGGGGTAGAGTATGAAAAATGTAGTATATTGTTGTTCTAGGATTAGGTGGTGGCATTTAAAGAACTCTAACAAAAATAGCTTTGACAGTAAGATTCACGATCTTAAGATTTTGTTGGTGCATGAGAAAGCTAATGTTATGTGGGAAATATTTGCTTTAATATTAAGAATATTGTAAAGGATGTGTTTAGAGTATCAAAAGGAAAATTTTTTAATAGTAAAAATAGTTTGTTGTGAAATCAAAATGTGTAATAAAAGATAAAAAATAAGAAGCTATGTTATAAAAATTGGTTTAAATGTAAAAATTCTGAAAATTGAAAAAGATATAAAGTTGTTTGTAAGGAGTCTAAGAAAGCAATCTGCCATGCAAAGGTTTTAGCTTTTAATGATTTATACAATAGATTAGATACTAAAAAGGACGAAAGATATATGTATAAGTATTAGGAGATACTTGAAGATCTCAAGTAAAGCCTAATAAGAGAAGCAAAAAAAATGAGAAAGCTCCACAAATCCAATTGAAAACCAAAGAAAATAGTAGTTTTATTGCAAGAATGAAACTAATGGAAGGAAAATAGCTTGATACAATTGATCCTCAATTCAAGAGGAGGATCTATCTCTCCCAATCTCGAGACGCAACTAGAGCCCAAGACACCAAACTCCAAGAATAAGAATAGCCCAAATAGTTTGCATAACCCTAACTCTAATCTCCTCTTCTTATTTAAAGCAAACAACCCCACCTCCTAAGCCCTAGCTCCCCCCCCCCTCTCCTGTACTAATTACAATCATGAGTGGGTCCCACCCATATATGGGCAACAAAATTAAGAGGGCTAACCAGGCTTGGTCTGCCTCTTATAAACTTGGGTCGGCCCTTTGCTCAAGGCCGGCTGAACCGGTCTCTCCTGGATCGGTCATGGCATAACAATAATCTAGCAAAACAAAGAGATAAGAGTAGTAAGGATTTAGTTCAAGTGAAGTGCATTAAGGATGAAAATCAAAAAGTACTTTTTTTAGAAAATAATATACAACAAAGGTGGATGAGATATTTTGCTACGCTTTTCTACGAAGATTGTGACAATACGATTGACTTTAGTGACCTTAACACACCAAATTGAAGATAGATATTTTTATTTTTATTGGCGTATTGCTAAAAATGAATTTAGAGAGGTTTTAAAGTAAATGAAGTGTGGGAAAACTGTTGGACATGATGATATTCCAATAAAGATGTGCAAATGCTTATGAGATGAAGGAATTTTTTGATGCATTTAGATTTTTGCATTATTTTTGTTTTGAACAAT